TATTTTCGTTGTAAAATGTGTCTTATTACATACCTGCAATTAATTACAAAGCAGCTTAATAAATTCGTAAAAATGAAGAAATTTCTGTTTGGGAAATGTAGTTTTTATCGTCCTAGTTATACCAATTATCGATTAATTACCAATTAATTATATACCAATTAATTATTATTATATAGTTATAAGTATTACCAATGACCAAATATATTGTAAAACCAATTTACAATTTTGCTAAATTATTTGCTATATTTAATGAGTCAATGCAAGTTTTTCAATTTTTAAACATTTTAAAAAGTATTACTATTGATTATTCAAAAATGTTTTGACTTATTATATTTCATTAAAAGGAAGAAAAAAAGGTTTTATACAAACTATAATATATACTATCACTTAAAATTTTTAAAAATGTGTTACTTCTTAGTTTATGAGGCATATACTTGCATTTTGGAAGAAAAAAAACGATATTTTTAATAATAAAAGTTGAAGCCTAATTTCTTCTTGTTTTTTAAAGGAAAATTGGAATGTGGTTTTTTTTCTTTATTTAATATTAACTATCCTCCTTTGACGACCAGCTTGGTCACTTTTCAAATACCTGTGCGGGGCACACTTTTTATTATAAATTACAAGTCATACTTCAAAAGCCTTGATGGAGGGGTAGGACTTTTATTTTAAGTTTCGTTATTACTGAATTTTTCAGTCCTGTTAATTAATTTTTGCGTATATCGATTTACATTGTTTTTCGGAAATTCTACATTGTTTTTACATTTTGAACAAATTCATTAAAAAATTAATTATTATTATTATTTAAAATAAAAAATATTATTCATTACTAGATGGAAGTTGTTTATACACATTTTTGGTTCTTCAATAAATATAAAATAAAAAAAAAACTCAGTAAATGGAGAAGAATCAGTAAATTTATATTTGTATTAGTTGTAAGCTCATCTAAAATTGATCCTGGTTTTGGACAACTTATACATTTCAGTCTTTGTGGGGGAATTTTTAAAGGATTTAGAATAGTATCAGGCCTTAATTTTTTTTACCATCTTTCCTATTTATTTTAAGTTGAGATTTTATAAAATGAACCTGCACGAAAATTTGAAATATTGTTTTGTATTTTCATACTTAAATTTAATCACATTAAAAGATTCAGAGTTTAAATTTTGTAAACATACTCCCATTAACTTTTCTACAACTGAAACTCCTTATTTCAGCAATTTAACGTAAGAATTTTAAAGAAAAAAAACATGTATAGATCCAAAAAGGTAAAACGCATGAAAGTTCGCATAACAAATAGATTTCTTATTATAAATGTAAACAAACTGTTTTAACTTTAAGCGATATGTTACCATAAGTAACGAAAAAAAAATTAAATAAGCCAGGATTAAAAAGCAAGCAATATGATATAATGGTGAATCAAAATGAAATATAATTAGAAACAGGTATAAATATTTATTTTCAACAAAACAAAAGGAAATGCTTAAAAAAGTGAATACAAAACTTGACGATTCTGGTATAAGTTTGGCGAATACTTATTCAGCCAATCTCTTGCCTTTATTTATTTGGTTTTATACCACACAAACACTAATTGTAAAATAAATTATTAAATATTGTTTAAAGGTCATATTTCAAATATATAATTACTTAATAAATGCAAGTTTCTATAAAAATTCTTATATTTGAAAGATAGTTAGAACTGAACAATTCAAGTAACCCTAAAAAGTTATTCGCTTATTTAATTTTAAAGAAACAGACAAAAGCAGGGATTCAGAAAAAATTTCTAACAACTTAAGGTCATTTGTATACTACATATGTAAGCAAATGAATTCAATAAATTATAAATAGATGAGCATTTACCTCATGTAAGCGAGCTGCACTTCCTGGCTGAAAGTTGATTTGATGGAAATCTTTACATTAGAAAGCCTTTTTTTTAAACTGTTTGCCCAATTCATCAATTCAGAATTATTTAAAGTATCTAAATGGGCTTCAAACTCTGACACAAATGTTAACACTGCGTAACTAGCGAACTTGTTTGCTCCATAATGGCGGACAGCTCAGCTCCCACTATGGATAAGCCTTAGTTTACGTTATCAATTGTTTTTTCTATTCTATTTCTTGTAAATCAAGCTCGTCAAGTATCATTTCTCTTAAGTGACACATTCTATATTCTTTCACAAAGATTTCATTTCTTTTACTATATATTTCTTACTTTACAAAAAGACAGACACGAAGCCACCTAGAACATGAACAAACTAATTATGCATCGAATTTGTCAAGTACAAAAAGCAAAAATATATCGCGGTTACCATAAAATACGTAAACAAATAATAAATCTAAGTTAAGTAAAAGACATAGACGAGAAGAAAATTTTATTTCAACAAATTCAATATGCGATATAGCGTTGTATTGAATTAACCTCACGTTAACTAACATTCCAACTTATGCGGAGAAACTTAGCACAATTTTAACACGCCATCTTATGTATAAACGATTAGATGGTGCTGAGGTCATACGTCACGTGTCTGAATATCCTGGATCTTTTCTTCTGGAAGTGCGAGTACTCAATTGTTATCGAAAAATATGTCTGGCATTAGAACATATAAGCAAATATAGAATTTATTTAATTACGTAACAATACGTACTCGTTTCATTTCTTTCAATTTCATTTCGTTTATTCATCTCCATATGGTCGATCAAAAAACAAAAATTATTCATCATCACTATTTTGTATCATTTTTAATCATTCAAAATTTCTTTTCTTGGTGATATCTTAAGGCTACCAGTTTTAATTTCGAATATGACACGCCTTTTAAATTTCTCTAGTGTTATTTTTTTTTTAGTTTTTTCGTAACTGAATTTTCCAGAATTTCAATTAAAGAAAAATAACTGGAGTTATCAACAAAAAAAAGTCATCATGTTTACAACATAATTTTATTTGATTGCTCAGTAAGTAAAAAACTGCATCTGTATTCGTATTAATTTTATGCTCTATATTCATTCATAATAATTAATAGAGTTAAAATACTGGAACTGAGCACGAATATGATTGAGGTAAAATTTTCTGCTAATAGCGAGCTCGATACCTGCTTCATTTTTCGACTGATTTAATTATTTCTATTGATGTAATCTAAAGCACATGAAGAGTATTTTTAAACTATTTTTTAAAGTAGGCCTATTAACTAAAAATGTTTTAAAAATCAGAGTTTAACGGAGTTTTATTTAATCAAGAAATACAAAATTAAGTAAAATAAATATTGTGAAAGCAGCGGAAATTACTTTATACGTGTTAATTAAATTATCAAATTAGATAAATATTGTGAAAAACTTGCCCAACACAGAAAATATTAAATAAATATTTTAGTCAAACAGCGAAAGTACGATGAAACGAAAACATCCAATGATTGGATCTTAATATACTAGGACTCAGTCTTAATAGTTCAAGATCCTAGCCTTAAATATGTTAATTTTTGGATTTTTAACCCTCAAAACATGAAATGCAGCAGCAGTATGAAAAATATGGTACCAATAATTTTATCCCCTTAATATTAATTTCACTTTTAGCGTATTTCACCATATCTGTAAAATTGAGAATGTAATCGAAAGTTTTGCACATAAATATATTTTTTATCCCAAGATAATTTCAAGAAAAAAATTAATTTTTATTATCATTTGTTATTTTTATCATTATTTGTTATTTTTATCACTATCTGTTATTTTTATTATTATTTGTTATTTTTTATCATTATTTGTTATTTTTATTATTATATGTTATTTTATTATTACATGTTATTTTTATTACTTAATTTGCTAATTGTTGAAAAAAATTGGAGTTGTAAAGCATCGAAATTTTCACACCAATTAAGTAATTTGAAAGAAATCGGTCGAATAGTTCTTTAGAGATATAATTTTAAAAATTCGCCCACTTAGAGATGATGAAGTACGTGAAAAGTATAATTAGAATTATGGGAGCCCAAACTTTTCACCACTTTCCTGCTAAAACTGTTGGGACCACATTTTCAAGTTTGCGGGTAGCTCTTCGCTTATTTTGATAGTCAAGATTCCAAATTCGTCAAAAAAAAAGGTGAGTTCATACAGAGAAAGTATGTTCTTGTGTCTGATTTCGTAACTCAAAATATTATCTACACTAATTAATAAGAATAATTTAGGTTAGGCCCTTAACCATTACGATTGAATTCTAGTACGGTAATATCCGATTATTAGATCAAAAGTTAGTTTTTTTTAACGCATTGTACATTCTAAGCAGCGAGATGTATTTCGAGCTCTAAGCTGCTTAAAGTTATAGAAAAAAGTTTAAATGAAGATCTTTTTGAAACTGTACTGTGACAGTAGTCAAGTCTCTTTCATTATTGTGAGTTTTGACAAAACTTGGCAAGTTAACAAAGATTATTTGAAATATCTAGTGAAAACATTCTTCAAACTAATTAGTCTATTTCTTTGTTAACATAAATTTCTGTGCATTTGGGATTGTGATTTGCTCTTATTTTCACGTAAGTTCGTAAAATTTTGGATGTATTTTACAAGTATATATGATAGGGTTGTCAGATTTCAGTCAGACAAAAAAAAAGCTAATGTTTTTTTTCTTTTTTTTCTTTTTTTTTGGTTTAACGTATAAAAAAGTCTGCTTTTATTAGAACTAATATTTTTCAAAAACTGTTATAATATAAAATTGTTAATCAATTAGTACATTGGAGTTATTGTATGTTAGGAACAATTAGGAGCAGCTACTTAGCAATTTCGAGATAGTTTGAAGTAACAGCTTTAATCTTCAAAGAGTTAAGAGTAAAATCTTAAACTACTTAGAACTACAATGAGATACAATGATAAAGAATAATTGTTGCTAAAAAAGAGTACGGATACTAACTAGCAAATAGTTTTACTGGTTTGTAATATTTTTTCAACTAGTGGTACCACACTGAGCACATTTCTTCAGACGTTGTTTTAGGCCTTTCCTCCTAACGAAGTTGAAATTATTTCCTTTCTAGATGACTTTGATTGCGTAGTGGGAAATGACACAGAATGTACTAGATTTGAATTTGAACTGGCTGGAGAGAACCGAACCATCAATTCCATACACATCTGGTTTCAAAAGATTACTCCAAATGAATCACTTCATATATCTGTTCGTCTATGTTCCTCTATGGATATCGATGATCAAAACTGTACCTCAAATGAAATTCTTCAAGAAGTAAAGACTGACCTTGGTTGGACTTCTTTTGAAATATCACCGAAGTTGTTATCCCAGTACCAAAACAAATATCGATTTTGCTCAGTGGAAGCTTATGGTAAAAAGTACTTTTTTTTCTTCTTTTTTTCTGAATAATTATTTCAAAATAAGATTGTTCATTCTATTCAACTTTAATATCATTATTGATTTTTTATCATTATCAAACTATTAAGCTACATTAATTTCATTAAAAAAGAGAAATGGACACCATCAACAGTTTTCTCTCTTTTTTTTTTACTTAATGATAGACATTTGTAACAAAATCGCAATCGGTGATCAACATTTGAAATATCATCCAATTAACAATTAATTACGTTTCACAGGTTGTCCATAAAATACGTGATATGGGACATGTCTGTTATTTGTATCTTTCTAAAAACAAAGTTCTAACAGATGTTAAATTTTGTTTTATATAGAATTTGCAATTATCGCACAGTAATCGCACTACAAGCGTCACATTTATAAAACTGTTGTTTCTAAGGTAGCTTCATCGTCAAAAATTTGCTGTGTTTATGCCCAATTCAACTTTATTTCTTCATTTATTGTTGGTCAAACTTGATCAAAGAAACTTCGTCAGCAAAAGTATTATTCGCTTACAACCAATATTGCAAAAACAGCTTTTTTCCCAGTAACAAGTTACTGTTCTTTAAAACTATTACAATTGTGAAACTGTTGTTTTTGAAAAAAGCTTCCTCAGTGAGAAATGTGATGTTCTTTTACCATTGCTCTTTTAACTGCTCCAATTGTCAAAGAGTTGCATTTGGAACAAACTTCGTTATCAAAAATGTTATTCTCCTTCAATCAATGCTAGTTTAACTTGTTGCTGCCCAACCAATGTTGTTTCAACTTTTTGTTTTTTCCTTGACAAAATTCTAAACACTGTTTGAAAAGCACCATATAAAGCTGTTTTAAGTGAAAAAAATTAAAGTTACAAAATTATTGTGCTTAAAAAAGGCTACTCTTAAAAATAGCTTGGTGTTTCTCTTAAAAATAGCAAGGAAAGCTTCGTCCGTGCGTAAGGCTAATTTACGAACTTCAATTGAAAACTGAACATTTCACTAGCTCTTCATAGTTGTGTTATTATTTTATTTGAAATTAAAGTGCTTGAGTTTTAATATATGTCATTTTATTGCTCATGCTTTCCTTTGTAGAAAAAAATTTAAATTAAAAATCACAACATTAAATTTATTTTCATAACTTTTTAATTATCTTCAATCCATTTTTCTATGCATAATTACTCGCATATTAATATTATTATTTCATTTCAGGAACAAACTTTGAAATTCAAGGAAATCGCCAACCTTTCTTAGTTGCTACATTGAATGCTGCAGCGGAAAGAAAACGTCGAAGCACGCGTACGGCTCCAAACAAAATATGCACGAATCAGTGTTGCAAAATTGATTTCTACATCTCGTTCAAGGAGATCGGTTGGAATTTCGTAGTCTATCCGGAAGGATTTTATGCAAACATGTGTTATGGAAAATGCAGCAACGAAGATCAAAACGCCTTCCCCAGTCATTATCACAGGATACTGAATTTAGCTTTGACCAACAAAACGTCAACAGCAGAAAATAAAGAACCCGTATGGACTCCATGCTGTAGCCCAACTGAACTGAAACCGCTTGAAATGATATATAAAGCTTCTAATGATACCACTACTAACTCTACTCATACACTTGTTCACCATGAAATACCAAATATGATCGCAGAATCATGTGGTTGTTGGTAAAGTTTGTTTGTGCCACACCACAGGAGGAGTATCTGGACCAAATTTAGAGGCAAAAATTCCGCAAAAAAACTAGGATCATGACGAACAAATAATCAGAAATAAAACTTTGTGGTCACGCAAATAATAAGTTTTTTTCCACTTGGTATATTGTTAACACGATATATTGTCCAACTAATATTTTACCAACGCAATATTTGGTTTGTGCAACATTTTATCTATTCGATTTTTACCTTTCCTTTTGTACAAGTGACCTTTACTTTTCTTTTTATCTATACTCTCTGCCACACATGTCATTAAATATTTTTTACATGGTACAGTATCAACACGATGCAATATTTTAACCACGTGATATTTGGCCTTTACCCCATTTTATCTATACATTATTTCTTTAAAATAAAATGAATTTTTAAAACAAAATAAAATAAAATTTAAATGAAATTTTGTATAGTGAAATTATGGAAGATTTAGAGCTTACAAGCAGTATTCAAGAGAATTGGAAAAATTACAAACTTTCCTCGATATTTGACTTCGTAATGGTCTCTCCAAATTTTGTGGAGTAAAATTTCGTACCATGAGAATGTTTATTTGTTATCCACTAGTGATTTGCAACTTTCTTACATTTGAACTCAAGAAATTTTAAATAAAATAAAGTTGGAGAATCCTGTATGAACCCAGATTCTTTAAATCATTGAAATCATAAGCACTGAATCAGTGAAAAAAATCTTCAGTTGAATTGTTTATCAACAACAAACTTATAGTTTAAAAAGAGTAACATAAAATATGTTTATTTCGTGTTTTGTTTGCAGTAGTTGTTATGAATAATCTACTCTGGCATTATTTGTATTCATTCGAGAAATGCAGCAAATGAAATGCCCTAATACGAAATTTGTTTCTTGTTTCATTTTTGTATTTATTTCACTCGAGCATCATTTCAACTTAAGTTATATTCATACTTTATTTCCATTACTATGCATTCATTGTGTTTCTTGTTCTTTTCCATGCGTGTACAATCAAATATATAAAATCATGTGTTCTATGTCTGAATTGAATTGCAAATTCTTTTATTCAAGACTTCGTTTCAGCAGTCTTGATATTTAATTATACATTATGTATAATATAGAGTATTATATAACTTAATAAAAATATGAATTATAAATACCTCTTTTCTGCTTTATAATGAACACGAGCTTTCAAGTATTTTTTATAAATGAAGTAAAAACAAATATCGCCTTCATTTTATTAATTAGATAATTCCATTAGATAACTCAATAACTAAACATTCGCAAATTTTTGGAATTGTCTATCTCTTAATTTATCAGTAAATAAAACTAATTTCTGACCCATTATTTAGTATGTATGTTACAAACAAAGAACATGTGATATTTCTTTATTATTTATATGCACATTACAATTATAAATCTTCATTATTTTAAACAACACGTTTGGTACAACTAGTTAATTTTTTTTTTTTACTTTTTCAAAAAAAAAAGCAATGAAACGATTAAAAATGTGAATTCAGTAAGTAATTTTAGTGGTTTTTTGGACAGGACTCTAATCCTAAACTCTACTCATGCATTAGATTATTTTTCTGCATAAAATCTCAATTATAATTCACCAAATTTTAAGAAAGTCGCGCCTTTTTTTTCCGAAATTTTCATATGTTTTATTCCGGTTTCTTTTTAATTTATAAAATTTTTTGTAGGTCACTATCTGGTTTGAAGAGAAATTTTTAAACTATATTTTGCCAAAAAAATGTCAAATGCATAGGTTGTCTTTGACAAAAACTAATAACAAAATATTAATTATAAAATTTGAAATTAATTATGAAAATTAGAATTTCAAAAAAAAGACTAAAATATTCTTTCTTTTTTTTTATTTAAAAGCTTTTTTTAGTAAAGTACAAAACTAGCAAAATTTTTATCAATAAATGCTTTATCATTATTTTGTTCTTAATTTTTGAATATATTGTTTTGAGTCGAAACTCTTTACCTGACAAAATTCCTAATATATTAACAGAAGTTTGCATAAACTTCTGCATATATTTATTTGCTGTCCGCATTTTTCCCCAAAAATTTAAAACTAAGGAATATGCCAGCCATTTTAAGGAAGAAGGTGTTTACTTCTGGGGTTGAGTAAAAAGTTCATTTCATTTTTTGGTGTCTGGTGTATTTCATTTTTAATTATCCTGAAAGGACTGTCCAATGAGTTGGAATCGTGAAATTTACCAAAAATGCTTGTGATTAGTTAAATATTGTTCCCATTTTTATTTTGTGGTCTATTATTTGGTTATTTTTTCTTCTAATTATATTCTTTTCAAATTATTCAATTACTGTAATCATTTGTATAGTTTTAGTGATTCCAAAGTGGCTCTTTTAATTTTGCTGCATGTTTTTTTGTACTTTTGTTTCTAAATGTTTTTAAGTTTAAATAAACAAAATCAATAGAATTCACTGCAATTTTTCGTCATTAAAATCATACTTGTACAATTTTTATACATTGTAACTATTGAATATTTTCTCAATTCCGAATTTTCCTGTTAAAAAATACTTAATTTCCATTAGTATAGTTGATAGAATATTTATTTAAAGTACTTGGAAATGCAGTTGATTGCGTATTTTTATGTATAATTTAATATCCAAACTTAGTGAAACTTAATCCACAAACTTGTTTTTTGAATTTGTATTTAATTTTTGATTACAATAAAGCTCGTTGAGTGTTTTCTTTTTATCGAAATGATTGTTTAAGAGTAGTACGAAAAGTTTATTTCTAACAGTAAATTTTATTTTGAATATTAATAAAAATTAAAAATGTAATAATAGCGTAGAATAGTATTAAGAAAGATATTTAAGAGGGTAAATAAATATTACAGGTAAATATCGATAAATAAGAAATAAGCAAATAACTTACAGGTAAGTACCTTTCCATCTTTGTGGTAAAAGTATACAATAGAGTGCTCCTCTTATTTTAGAAATTTTTATGTTCTTGCAGAAAACAAGAAAAATGAATTGAAAGAAATTTACTAATAATAAGAAATTGCTATAAAAAGTAGTAAAATGGAAGATTTCATATACAGTAACAGCTTTAAGTTTCAGTGCCCAATTCAAGAGGCACCCTGTTCTACACTCTGACCATTTCTATTAATTTTAAGTTGATGACAACCATAGAGAACTGGATCTTCTTTATTTATTAATGACCATGTTATATAAATTTTTCAATTCAATGAGAATGTACAAAACGGTAAGATGACAATTATCTTTTTATGTAATATAGAGATAATGATATTTTAATGCTTTTTTTTCGGAAATAGATTAAATGCATCTCTTTTTTAGATGTATTAATGAAAAAGAATAAAACTACTATATTACGATCGTGCCTGTAATGCATTTTTATTCCGGTATTTTACCGAAGTAATTTGTCAATACTATGGCAAAATTAATCGAAATTTTTATCTCAAATCTGACGAAGGTTCTTCTGTTTAGCACGAGGTAAATCGAATGAACTGATCATGAAACTGATCATCTGAAACTGATCGAATGACTTTATGAAACTGATCATCTGTTATTATATGGCTGTTAACCATTTATATTTATAACATCATTCTCTTCAAAGCATATATTATCAAAGGGGTAGTAAAATTAGTTCGAAAAAAACAATTAAATAGACATTAAAAAGCATTAAAAAATTAAAATCTATAAAATGTTTTATAAAATAAAATTTTAAGAAATATATTACATAAATTCGAAATAGTTACATATTTGAAAGTGAAAAATGGTGTCTTAGAATTTTTCTTAACGAAAGTTATTAAAAAATAGGTTACATGTGCCCCAAGCCTGAAAAACTTTGATAGATTTTTTAAAATTTGATTTCTGTATTATAACTGGAATAGAATACAACAGACGATATCATTAAAGAAATTAGTAGAAAGTTCTAAGCGATATTTTAATGAACTTAACATTTGATTATATAAAAGTCAAAGCTCTGAATGACTCATCACTATCTCTGATTCTCCCTCTTCCCATCAAGTTAGAAAGCTAAAATTTAAAACATATGTTTTTATAAGGTAAATAGAAAAAAGAATTTAAAAAATTAATTTAATATTGTGAAACTATCGAGATAATTAGGGGGAAATTCGCCTAATTGACCGTAACGCTAAACACATTTTTACCAAAGTGAAAGTCTGAAATTTGAATCATGTGTTTTTTGTAAGAGAAATAGAAAAACAAAAATGTTTTATTTTGATATTTTATAATTAATGGGGTAGTTACCCTTATTTAAAGTTAAGCTAAATAAATGTTTGTCGCAAAAATAGAAGGCTCAAATTTTGACCTCGCGTTTTTTATCAGATAAAGGAAAAACTAAATCAGTTTCATTTCTATATTATGTGAATGTAGGAGTTATTGGGGTAATCACTCTAATTAACACTATGCATGCAATAACACTTTCCAATCAAAATAGAAGTCTCAAGCATGAATCATTTGTTTCTTGTCAAATTATAAGGATGAACTAAAAGAAAAAGTTTATTTTCGATGTTTGTTCATTAAAGTGGTAATTTGTCTAAATGATACCAATGTTTAATAATACTTGCCTCTAATCACAACTACGAATTCGGCGTAACACGGCAAATTTCGGCCATTGAGCTATTAAACCCCGAAGAGATGGAAATTTGTACAGGTGGTCTCAATATAGAATTTTAAAATAAATTGGCCTCCCATTTGCTCAATTTCACTTTAACTATAGCTGAGTACAATAACGTGGAGCCTGGAAACGTTGAGTTCATGATGGTGAGGGACAATATTGCTAAAGAACAAAGAAGAAGTTCGTGTCGGCGAACCAACAGGTTGCCGCAGGGCGCAAGTCAGCTATACAGTAAGTTATCACTATAAGCACGATCAGATGTTTATCATCATAATAGTATCATCAGAAGTCAGTATCAAGTCAGTATGAACTAAGTTATCATCAGAAGTATAAGCACATTTTTCCGTAAAAAGACGTAGTGACATGGCAAAAAAATTAAGTTATATTGACATAAATGCTTTTAAATACAACTTTTAGCACTTTTTAGCTATAAGTTAAGCAGCAATGAGAAGATAAGGCAAACTATTCATTTACATAAAGGTAAGTACAGGAATTTACTTTGACACATATAAGCTATGTTGCTTCTCGCAAGTTAATAATGCCCCCTAAGTAAAAAGCGATTGACACTGAATGCTTCAATCGTTTCATTTATAGTTCTAGTTCCATCTTGTCAAAATTAATTTATGTAATGAAAAATATATTGGTTTGTTGTATAAGTCATTTTAAAATATGTAACATTCGAAAATTATATTAACTTATTAAAGAACTTTCAATTTTCAATCAAAGATAAACAAAAGATATTCTTGACTGTCTCCTATTTTTAATATCAAC